CAGATTCACACCTCGGAGCCAGGGCTAGCTACGCCTATTTGACGGAACCAAACAATGAGAAGTTGAACTCTTAATTCTGTATATATATGTAGATAGATAGATATCCGATACATGTTCAAAGGGGGTATACTTTACTATGTTGTGGGTTTTCACCATTCATGATTCATGTCCACAAACGTGTTTTCAACTGTTCTGGAATCCAGGGTCACTTTCTGAATGGCTAGGGTCCCTGCACTGCTCTCTTAGCTCTTGCCGACCTTGGGTGCCGTCTGGCACGGATTCAATTTGTCAATGTATTGATCAAGTGACTCCGCAAAGCAAAAATACATATGAATTGAGCCGAAGCCAACTCCCCAAACCCGTCCCGAGACTTTCAGGTCCTCCAAGTTTTTGGGTTTGTGGCAAGTCTGGAACCAGAAGTACTCCCAGGTCCCCAGTGGCATCTATAAGGACCTCCGAATTTCCATGGGTCCATCGGCCACAAATGTCCAATGCCAGGGCTGCTTAACCTGCAGCACTTTCTTGGCACATTTTGGCAGCACGTTGTACTCATGCTCTCCAAGTGTGAGGCATAACGCTGGAGTTACAAGCGCCACCTTGTCCATGACGTGCCCCTGCAGAAGCTGGAAAATATGTACATATATCATATACCCACATATACTATTGTATAATATTGTATGTGTACATATATATATATATATAATATATATATATATGTTATACATGGTATTAATTATATGGCTAAGTGAAGCCACAGCTACAAGCTTGTAGAAGAATGAGCGGGGAGGGGAGCACAAATCTTCTACATGCAAGGTGTTGGCGCGGATATGGGGCAGACTGATTAGCTCACAAAAAAACGTTGTAGATCAAATTGCAAAGAGAGAAGGGATGGGAGTAAGAGCTGCATTTACATCACTCCACTCAGACGAAGTGCAGCATTATGCTTTTGGCCATCAAAATGCTTCGATTGTCTTCAGTTTATGGTTTATGATTCATGATGGTTTATGCCTATGCTGGGTGCATTTCTTACCTCCAAGTGCTCGTTGCCAGGCGCATGCAGCTTCATCCAAGTCCTGCGTGCAGGTTGCTTAGCCAGCTGCAGGGTCATTAAAATGGCAGTATGGACATTACTTCTGACTGGCCACGACAGGCTGTCATGCTCCTCTCACGGATTGACTTGCAACGTTGACGTCGACACAAGCAACCCGTCCACTCATTCCCACATGATTTCATCCCTTGTGTGTACACGAATCGACATGAAGCTTTTGTCTTCGGGAAATGGCTGTGGGTCAAAACCGGGATACCTTGGTTGACCCCCAAATGAACAGACGAGACTTCGGAGGTCAAGCTACACTGTGTTGGGGCTCCAGGTGACCCATCCCGGATCCAAAGGCGGGCCTACCAGCCAAAAAATGACCGAGTCACTTCGATTGCCAAACTAGTCTCACTGTCCCGTTGAACCAACATCCAACATGAACCAAACATCCGTCTATCCGTTCAACACCTTTTTCTTCGACAAAGGATCCAACGAACGGAGCCTTCATCCAACACGTTTCACAGCCATCATCCAGTTTCGACTCCTCCGGGGCATTCTGCTTTGACTCCTCGAGGTTGTTCCTCTGAAGAGGCGGGACATCCAGGGATTGACGGAACCAAAAAGAAGTGAATGGTTCAACCTCCTATAAAAGAACCAAGGAGCATGTTTGGTGCTATGCTGAATAGAAAACGACAGTATCAAAAATGTTGGCTGTCTAAGTCTACTCAGGATACTACGGGGGCTGGTTGGTTTCTTGTGGGGAGGGTCATCCGCACTAAAGCTGACTCGAGTTCTCTTAGTGGGTCATCTGTCTTAACATGTCTTAGTCTTAATCCAACGACAAAACGTACACTTCCTCCGGTGTCGCGATGGCAAGCGCGTCCGTCGACTCGGAGTTCCTTGTGAAGCGTGCAAAGTCACATTGGCCCACATGCAGCAAACGTACCTTGGGCCGGTGGCCGGATCACCCACAAGATAAGAAATGCCAACAACTTCGTTTCTGCCATGGAGGGCTTGGCCAGTTGGCCAGGCCTAACAGTTCCCAGCAACCCATCATCCATATGAGCCAGATCGAGCTGTCGTTCTTGCCATCCCATACCCAAAGATGGATGCCATTGGTGTTGCTGTCACCAATCATGAGTTTGAGGATCGCTTTTCATGCTGACTGGATCACAGGAAACATGCAAAAATATATGAAAACAACATTGAGCAGCAAGCCTTTTTTGTGTCAGTGGCGCAATTAAGTGGCCAGGTATGTACTGCAGGTTTGACTCATTCTAGCATCCTTGGTCCCCTGACTCCTGATGTTCCCTGAGCTCCCCTGAGGATATCTTGTGAGGTTTTTTCTGAGGTGCCCTGCCGCCTTGGCAATCAAGTGCCACTCTCCCGAGATCGCCTGGACCGCCGCACCCACCTCGGGACTGGACCGTCGACTCCACGGTGACGGTCCCGGTGAAGCGAAAGGCGACCGCCCCGGGGACCACGGCCGTACGGTGGAGCTCGGCGGGCGTCATGCGTTGGGACTGGGCAAAGAACACCGGATCCCAGACACCTGGAAAAGGTGAAGCATGGTGAAGCCATTGAAAGACGTCATGTTTCTGTTTTTTCCTTTTTCTGGTTCCGTTCCTGTATGTTTTGCCATTTTGGAGCGGCTACGCTTGAAGTGCTTACCGATAGAGCTTTGGTGATAGTGTTCATGCGGTTAGTTCAGCTGAGGACGCTGCCGGAATTGTCAACCGCCTGAGCCGAATGGAAGCTTGGCATTCAGCAAGCGCTGATGCCACTTTGCGAAGTGCTGCAAATACATTTCAGCCATTTGTATAGGTCCTAGATGGTCCTAGATAAGTGGGCTGCATGAGCTCTGGTCCTTTTGGCTGGATTTGTGCAACGTGTGGACGTTCTGATGTTCAAATGTAACGACAGAATGGCCGATCCATCATGAATACCCATGTGTGCAAGCAGTACCACAGCCTCCTTTGCTGCCACCAGGTCCTAATCAAGAAAGACTGGACATTCGCAAATGACACTTGAAGGTCCTATGGAACCAGCTACTTCAACACCAACACAAGCTCTGAAAGTAGTGAAATGTAGTGAGCCTGCTCAAACACTTGGAACTTAGAACCAGAAAAGGCTCAGCCACGCCGTTGTCTTCATGCAGTTCTTTTTGGACGCAATCCATGCCTTCACTAGTGGCGGCCAGGGACCAAGAGTCAGTCGAACAAATGATGTGCAAGCCCACGTTTGGTCCTTTAAGAACCGCCGGGACTCGTCTTTGGAGAAGACCTTCGTCTCCGCGGCACCTGAGAGTCTTGTCTGAAGCGCAGTCTGCGGTCAAGTTGATCATCAAGCAAGTCACTGAGAGTCTTGCTGAAACGACATCGGAAGTGCAAACGACCCGAGTTTGAAAGGCCCTCTGAGAGCACTGAGATGTTGAGCCTCAAACACAAAGCTAAGTGTCAGCTGGGAAAACAATCAAACATTTCGGAGTTTGGACCTATAACATATGTTGGAGATCTTAAAAGGTCGTAGAGAAACTTGATGTCAGGTGTTGCCCATCTGAGCACTGAACAAATGCGACGCAGGAGAATGGCTCCTAGCTCAACCACGCACCACACTGACCACGTAGGAAGACCAGTGACCCAGTGCTGAAAGCTCAGTTTCTCTCAGAATGGCACCGGCCTCCAGGATGGAAAGAATGGGTTTTGGCCCCAAAGAAGCAACCTCGGACAGTCAATGCCACAAGTAGGATCAAGGGGGTCTTAGCTTCAGTCCTCATGTTTCTTTTGTGGGTGCAATTGGGTCATGAAGTTCTGCAGACCAAAGCATGCATTCATATAATTACTTCTGTGTCGAAATGAAGATGCCCAAGAACATCCAAGTCGAAATCTTCGCTGTAAGTGCCCAAGAACCCTTGAAACAGCTCTCCCAAAAGACTCTGAGTTCACCATGTGGGACTCGGTGGGACTCTTTGGGGTGAACTGGGCGCCGCACTGACGGCCTCGGAGGCTCGACAGATTGGCTTGGAAATACGCCTCGAGGAAAAGGCCCTCGAGGCCGTCAGAAAAGGTGTCTAAAGCTTCCTTTATCATTAGCGAATGCCCCGAAAAGGGGAGTGTTGAGAATCCAGAAGTCCAAACGAGAATAGGCATCCACTTTGTTGGTAGATCTCGGCGAGAAGTGAGAAGCACGCTGGCAGCTGGCTGCAGCTTCTCCGGATTAAAATTGGAGGATGCCAAACAATTCGTTTCTGAGCTGCAAGTGACACATATATATATACCTAGCATATCCGTTTGCATCTTCTCACCGTCTCGAGCCTCGGTCAAGGAACCGGGACCAAGTTGAATCTCCTGCAAAGTGAAGAAACTGTGTTTTGATGTATAAACTATAAATTGTTGTCTCTGAACACGAAAATTTGTTTGTTATGGCCGGCCTGTTCCTTGTGGCACACTTTTCCAAACTTTAAGAAATGCTGAAGCATCGCGATTCATTGCGCCTCTCTTCGAATCAAGTCGTCACCAGATCGTTCCAAGATCTCGTGTGGTCTAGATGTGACACCTCGGGTCACTAAGGTCACTAGCAGCTAGCTGTAGCGGCTCAGAAGCGAAGGTGGAGAGGGTCACTAAGTCAAGTTCACTTGGAGGATAGTGCAGGCTTTGAACTGGCTGACAGTCGCCAGTCACAATACTGCTTCGAATGAAAGCAGAACTTCTGTTTGACGGTGCATGAAATCTTCTGCTTTCCCAAGTGTGCCCTAAGAAACCGCTCGGGCTTCGCCATTAAAAGTGAAGCTCATAAGGAAATAGCGGCGAAAAGCAGATTCCGTCTCGCAGTCTTTGAAGCGAAGCCAGGAAAGGTAATTACATGTACGATCATGTACGTACACATGATGTACACATGCCTATCATGTCTTCATTGGCTAGCTAGAGGTCACAGTGTCTTCATTGGCTGAGGTCCAGTCTAAAGGTCACAGTGTCAGGGCGAGCATCAGCATTGTGATCTCCTTGCTCCTGAAACCGTGTCCGTGATCCCCGCCCCAGGAACTTCGGCCAGTGACCTTGAAGGAGATCTCCACCGGTTCTGCAGCCCCTCGTTCCACATGAAGTCGGTACAAATGCTCCTCTGTCGGACTTTCCGTTTCAAAAGAATCATACAGCTTCAATAGGGAAACAAACCCGCGTACAGAGAGGAACATACAGCTTCCATGCCAGTCGACATGCCAATCGAACCTGTGTCACCATACCCGCGTAGAAGTCTTTGACGCGTCGGTTCCTTGGAATCACCTCACAGTTCGCTGAGCGGGACGAGCTCTTCTCGGTATGGGCGAGAAGACGAGACTAGCTCCAAGGCATTTGGAGTAAGGTCAGAGCTTTGTGTACACCATAGAAGAAGTGCTCCAACCTGGGGCTTGCTAACTTGCAACATTTTGCGGCAGCTTGTGTTCAGGTTCATGGATGTTCATAAGAGCGGTGGTCACAGCTGAGATTGCCGACTCCATTTGCAGAGTCACCTCCACATTCTTCCCAGGAGGCCTCACAGAACTCAAATGAAATTTCAATAACAAAACACTGACTGACACGGTGAGAAACTGCTTGGATTCCCGACCTTTGCATCTCACTGATGCGTTTCAGCACCTGCCAGGAAGTTTGAACATCTCATATATAACATCTCCAATGGAAGTGCTTGGCTTGCTCTTCTTTCCTCTCTTCACTTATCTTCATCTTCAATTGATTTGCAGTGCATCTTGAAATTGAATATACGACTCATGTAAACAAGCATGTTTCATATCAAGAAAATAAAATAGAGTGCTGAAGTGAAAGCAGAGTCTGCGGTGTCTGCCTCTGTGAGGTCAACATGTTGGGATTTTTGGGCCTCACCGACGAGCACGAAAACCCAGCCACCAAGCGGCCGCCCAGTGCAGTGGCCGCCCAGCTCTGCCTCCAACCTACTAGCGATGGC